CCCTGTGCTTTGCTAAGCTTGTTCTAAGTAGGTGCTTTAGACCACTGAGCATACTCACCAGCCCCTAGAACTCTTGAAGACATAGATGTAGGCAAAGATTTTATGAATAAAACCCTTACTGCACAAGAAATATTACAAAGAATCAACAACTGGGATCTCATCCTATTAAAAAGATTTTGCAGGCCAGTGAGGTAGCTCAGCGGACTAAGCACCTGCCTATGCAAATACAAGGACTGGGGTTTGATCCCCAGCACCACATGCTGTGCCAGCCCCGCCCCCAGGGTGTGCTGAGCTGGCCACCAGGTGTGGTGGTGCACACCTGTAACCCCAACCCTGGGGAGGATGGAAACAGGAGGATCACTATGAGTCTGAGCTGCATAGTGAAACCCTGTACCAAATACATTAAAAATAAAAATTTTTAAAAAAGCTTTTGCACAGCAAAAGAAATCACAAAAACGGTGAAGAGTCAACCCACTGAATGGAAAAAGATTGTATCCAGTTGTCCCTCAGACAAGACTTATATCTAAAATATACAAAGTATTGAATAAAACCAGACCCTCCAAATGTAAAGACTCAATCCAAAATGGGCATGTGAGATGGATACACACTTCTCGGATGAAGAAATAAAAATGGCAAATAAATATATGAAAAATGAACATCACTTATCATTCAAGAGATACAAATTATGGGGCCAGGGAGATGCCTTGGTGGTCTAAGCACCTGCCTGGCAAGCACAAGGACCAGGGTTCAATCCCTGCTACAGCATGCCGTGCCAGCCCTAGAACCTGGGGCACTCTGTGCCAGCCACCAAGACTGGGGAGGTGCACATCTGTAATTGCAGCCCTGGGAGGCTGAACTAGGAGGATCACTACAAGTCCAAGCTGCATAGTGAGACCCTGTACCAAGGAAATAAATAAATTCATAGATTTTTTTAAAGATGCAAATTAAAACAATGCTGAGATTCCATCTCACCCCAGAAACAATGGCTACAATCAAGAAAGCAACCAATAACAAATGCTGGTGGGACTGTGAGAAAAAGGAACCCTTCTCAGTTATTGATGGGAGTGTAGACTGGTACAACCACGGTGGAAATCAGTGTGGAGATTCCTCAAAAAAACAGGATTAGAGGCCCCCTTTGACTCAGCTATTCCCTTTCTGGGTATTTTCCCAGAAGAATTAAAAACATCATACCACAGCAATATATGTACAACAATTTTTATAGCAGCACAGTGTGTAATAGTTAAATCTTAGAAACAACCCAAATTCCACAAACTGAGGAATGGATAAAAAGATGAATTTTTTATACAGTGGAGCAATTCGCAGTCATAAAGAAGGATAAACTTGAGACCTTTGTCCGTAAGTAAATGTACCTTGAGATCATACTAAATAAATCAGACACACGTGTAAACATCGCATTGTCTCCCTGGCGTGAGAAACTGAAAGAGTAAATACAGACCAAAATGTACAACAGATATTGTGAAATAGGAAGAAATTATACAAAAGGAAAGAGGAACTAGAGAGGGAGAGGGGCAAAGAAAGAAGGGAAAAGGAAAGAAGGATAAAATGGAAACAAAGCTTTGTAAATCAGAGGGGGAAAATGATTAGAGGGGAAGGGATTGGGTAAAAAAAAAGACGAATCAAGATATAGCGTGTACAGGTACAAATTCCCTATGATGAATATGACCATTACGCATATCTAAATTGTACCACTGGGGCCGGGGAGATGGCTCGGTAGAATAAGCACTTCCCTGGCAAGCACAAGGACCTGAGTTCAATCCCTGGTTCTGCAAAAAATAAAAATAAAAAAATAAATTGTACCATTAAACTTAATTTTATTTTTTTTAAATTTTTATTTATTTATTTATATTGTTGTGTGTGTGTGGCCAGCTCAGCCCACCAGGGGGCGGGGCTGGCTGGGATGTGATGCTGGGGGATTGAACCGCGGTCCCTGTGCTTTGCTAAGCTTGTTCTAAGTAGGTGCTTTAGACCACTAAGCCATCTCACCAGCCCTACACTTAATTTTAAAAACACAAAAAAGGGCTGGCCAAGGGCGGGAGAGATGGCTCAGTGGAATAAGTGCTTCCCTGACAAGCGCAAAGACCTGAGTTCAATCCCCAGTTCCACCAAAAGAAGAAGGGCTGGCCAAATAGCTCAGCGGATTAAAGCGCCTGCAAGCAGGCATAGAGACCAGGGTTCTATCCGTGCGCCAGCTGTGCTGGCCCCGGCCCCTCCCCCCCCAGGGCGTGCTGAGAAGGGAAAAAAAGAACTAAGATAAACAAAAAATTATATCAAGGACTGGGGAGATAGCTCAGTGGTCTAAGCACCTGCCTGACAAGCACAAGGACCCAGGTTTGATCCCCAGTGACACTGAGGCAGGAAGATGAGCCCAGGAATTGAGACCAGGCTGCAACATAGTGAGACCCTGTCTTTTAATTAATTAATCAATTAAATAACAAATGTAGCTCCTTATTCTACCAGACAATGCTGCTTTAGAATATCATACTGTAGTTTCTTGCCATTTTTAATTGGCCAGCTGCTGAATTAATCCAAGGTAAATGCGCAAAAGTAACAAACCTGAGGGGAACGTTTGACCCTAGGCTTGGATTCTTAATTTTTTTTTTTTTTTTTTTTTTTTGTGGAACCGGGGATTGAACTCAGGACGTTGCACTTGCCAGGGAAGCGCTTATTCCACTGAGCCATCTCCCTGACCCGGATTCTTTTTTTTTTTTTTTAGTATTTTTTTTTATTTTTATTTATTCGTGTGTGTGTGTGTGTGTGTGTGTGTGTGTGTGTGGCCAGCTCAGCCCACCAGGGGTTGGGGCTGGCTGGCACGAGGTGCTGGGGGATTGAACCGCGGTCCCTGTGCTTTTTTGCTAAGCTTGCTCTAAGTAGGCGCTTTAGACCACTGAGCCATCTCACCAGTCCCTTCTGGCCCGGATTCTTAATCTTGAAGTTAAATATTTACATTGGGTTGAGCATCAGAATATTTTTTTTACAGAACAAAACATAGAAAAGGTATCTGAGTTTCAATGAAGTCATTGTTCCCAGCCTCACTGTTGCTGTTTCAAAAGACTCCCTCGGCCTTGCATAAGGACCCTAGTGTCAGGGGCAGCTTGTCACTACGACCCCCAGCCAAGCACAGTACCCTCTGGGCCTTGGCAATAATAAATCGGAAGGGGAACACTTTTAAGTCTAGTCTCGCGGTCGTTTGTCCACCGGACACCAGAGGCGCCGCGGCGACGTTAGTCTCCCACTCCAAGGTCACGGGCTCGCAGGCTCAGACGCCCGACCTGGGTCACCCCAGCCCGGTGCACGCTCGGGGCGTGGCCCGCAGAGGTCCCGCCCCCGTGGTCTCGCTCCGCCCCCTACGCCTGTATGCACACAGGCCGCACCTTCCCCTGCGTCACGAGGCTCCGCCTTCTGCGTCGTGTGGCTCCGCCCTTGCGTCATGAGGCTCCGCCCCCGCCTCGGGCTCAGCACAGTGGGCTGGCGGGGCGGGCTTTGCGGCCCGGGCCCAGAACCCGCCCCGGCCCCGAGCACTATGTAAGGTTGCCGGCGGGGCCGGGCCCGCTGCAGAGTTTTGGAAGTTCACTTTCCTGACCAGAAGGACCTCGGTCTGCGGGAGCTGTCCCCGGCCGGGTGCACGCGCGCGCGTCCCCTGCAGGGCGGCATGCGGGGCTACGAGGAGGTGACCGCTTTCCTGGGCGAATGGGGGCCCTTCCAGCGCCTCATCTTCTTCCTGCTGAGCGCCAGCATCATCCCCAACGGCTTCAATGGTATCTCGTACGTGTTCCTAGCGGGGACCCCGGAGCACCGCTGCCGGATTCCGGGCGCCGCGAACCTGAGCAGCGCCTGGCGCAACCACAGCATCCCGCTGCTGCTGCGCGACGGCCGCGAGGTGCCCGACAGCTGCCATCGCTACCGGCTCGCCGCCGTCGCCAATTTCTCCGCGCTCGGGCTGGAGCCGGGGCGCGACGTGGACCTGGGGCAGCTGGAGCAGGAGAGCTGCCTGGATGGCTGGGAGTTCAGCCAGGACGTCTTCCAGTCTACCATCGTGACCGAGGTGGGTGCCGGCCGTCTCAGGGTCTGGTGGCGTGGAGGGACAGTCGTGGTCCTTGCACCCTCCTGGATGCACGCCTGACGCTGTCACTCCCCCCCCCCTCATCCCCCAGCGCTCTAGTGATGGGCTACCTCCAGCCAAGTGACTCGGGAGCACTGCAAGGTGACTTCCAGCGCAGGTGTCAGGCTGGCCACCCATCCCAAGGCCACACTGGTGGTGGAGTCAGAAAGGGGCAGCCTGGGAGATACCCTAAGACCCAAACTTTCTCTAGCTGGTTGTGGGAAAGATGAGAAAATACAAGAACTGGACCAAGGGACTGTCACCATGTTTCCTTGAGCCTTGTGGCATCTGTTGAGAAAAAGGGAAATCTCTTTCCAGAACTTTTAAAGTTAAAAGAAACATAAAGCTACCTTCTCTCCTTTGTCTAGTTACTCCTGCCCCTCTTCCTACCTGGCAAACAATCCAGTCACGCCTTGAGAGGAATTGTTTTCCTTTCTCCCATGGTCTGCATGGTCCTGGAGTACCTCCTAGGCTATTTGCGGCAATGTCACTGGCCAGATTTAGTTGAAGCATATGATCTTAGTTTGTAGAGCATGGGGGCAACTTTTGTCATTCTCCCACCCCTTGAGTTCTCTTCAGTGGCTCCCTCCATCCCAGTGATTCTGCAGTCATTTAAACTGAGTGTGTGACCTGGTGCTAATGGTCACATGGGTGTGTTTGGGACTTAGGTGCTGACACTTAACTCCCTGCAGTCCTAGCAGAACCAAGTAAGCAGGCAATGCTAAGAACCTACACCAGGCAGTGGGCAGTCAGGGTTAGATGTTCGGGGGGGGGGCTTTCTAGGGGGGTCTCTCACCGAGTCCCAGATGCTACTGCAAGGAACTGCATCCCGAGGGCAGGAAGAAAGGACTGTAAGAAGCCCTGTGCTCTGGCCCCCTCCAAGAGCTTCAAAAACCCATGGAAGGGGCTGACACCTTTCAAGGGTAGAGTCTGAGCTACCCTTGAGCAGCCACAAGCAGCTTCTGTAGGGACTTCTTGGTCACAAAGCCTGGCCTCTGCTCTGTGGTCTGTGCTTGAAATCCCAGGCCATGGGATTGACCGTGTACACATATATGTTTTCTCTGTGTGTTTGAGCGTTTGATGTCCCTGGCACCTGTGCCTGCTTACTTTCTGCACATACAAGTAGTAGCAGTGTGTCCTGAGATCCTCTGGGATTTCTCAACTAGTGACATCCTTTTAGTGTCCTGAGGAATCATTGATCCTTGACCTAAGAACAATGGGAGGCAACCTTCCACTTTATATCCATAGAGAATGGGAACTTGCAGTTGCCCCAATCCTGGTTTTTAGCCTCCAAAATGAGTGCTGCCTTCATGTGCGAACTTTCACAGTGAGAACCGTGAAAGAAGAGCCTGCCTGGGATTTCAAGCACAGGCCACAGAGCAGAGGCCAGGCTTTGTGATCAAGAAGCCCCTACAGATGCTACTTGTGGCTGCTCAGAGAAAGGAAAGGCGTGAAGGCAGAAGCAGCCCTTGGCCTCTCGTGTGTGCCCTGACGTTTAGGACTCCCTAGCTTATGGTGGTCACTTGCACTTAGTTCTGTGTGCCCATCCTGACTTCTGCAGAGAGTGATGTGGCATTGATGAGGTCCCAAAGGCCAGCTTAACAGGAAGTATCTCAACCCCTGTGACCCCACTTTACTGCCTGTGTCAGTCTTTTTTTAATTATGTTCAGACTCTATTCAGCGATCTTAGCAGTTTTATAAGAGTTCTGTGCCCTTTCACCCACTTACAGGTTGTCAGTCTGTGCAGGGAGGCAAGATTAATACTTTGCTTAGCCCTTTGTTTGGACATGGAATGTCTGACTTAAAGTTCACATCCGCCTGTTCCTTTCAGGTGAACAGTCACCATTGGAAACTGCTGCATCAACATTCTGGTGACTTTCTAAAGCCCATTTTATTTCACCTAGACTGGGCTTGTTAATGACTGCAGCTCATTCTGTGCCTGCTAGGTGGCTCCATTCCTGCCCTCTGCCCCAAATCAGCATAGAGGTGTTTCTAAGTACACTAGTATTGAATTCCTGTTTATATTTTTTGACAGAAGAGTTAAACCTTCAGGTCTCCTTTTGGTTTTTCTTTTTTCTTTCTTTCTTTTAGGTTAAAGTATATACACACAACACTAAACTTTGGGATCTTTGCATCTCCCTTCATTTCTAACACAATGCAGGGGAATTTTCCACTCAGGAAAATTTCAACTGAATGGGTTAATGAATAACTTAAGAAACCTCTAAACTTTAAAGAAAAATGAGTTTAATTCATAGAAGAGAAACTTTGGGGTACCCAAAAATAATTTACAGGCATCTTTTAAAGGAAATGCCCCTTCCTATTTAAAGGAAATATCCATTATCTATACGTTTGATTGGAACTTATGCTACATATGTGTCTGTGGAACAAGACATCAGGCTTGGCAGAAAGAAGTGAAAGAGGTTTGTGTGCCTGTTCCAGGACTACTGCGCTGACCCATGTGCTCTTAGCTGGCCTCTCCAGTGGCCACTCTGTCATCCCTCGACATTGGTGAATCATCCAACCCAACCACAGTACTTTGGAGATCAAGACTACCCTCTTCCTGTGGAAACCTGGGTGATTTCCCAGGTTACTGGGGTACCTGTTCTTTGGTTTTGCCCTAGGCCAGCCCAGCATGCAGGCAGAAAGTTACTCTTAGTAACTACTAAGGCTTTGACCCCTAAGTTAGTGCTTAGGCAGTCTTACTTCCTGCCTGTCTCTGCTTTCCAGAAGCCCCCGGCTAATCTTTGGTAGGATTCCTGTTTACTCTGTCTTGTCATGGGCAAGATTTTTTTTTTTTTTTTTTTTCCAGTCTTGTAGGAGCTAGGAGAGCCACACTGTCATCCACTACTTTGCTTGCATGGAAAGCCTCAGCATCCTGAGAGGCAAGTAAAGGGATAACTATGGCCAGACCAGACCAGAGTAACCCAAACCTGTGCCTTGCTCTTGTACCTTTGCCGACTTCTATCAAGGGTAGCACAGACCCTCATCTGCCTTTGCAGCTGCATAACAAACTAGGCGAACCGCTTGTGGGCTCTGCAGCCCCTTGTGCATGCATGGCTTAGTAGGAGGCCATATCTGGTCACAGCTGGCCAGGAGGTCAGATTGGACTCTTCCTTCTGCTACCTGGCTGGGAACCATCTTGCTGGGTCCAAGTTCAGATAGCTGGAACAAGGCAGAGAGTCAGAGAAGAAAGAATTTATTCTGTAGATAGAAATGCACGGTTCATCTGAACCTTGGGCATCCAAGGGTAAGGATTAAGGTGTACAGACACGATTGTGAAATAGCTGTCATCATATAAACGGACTCCATTGTCTCATGAAGTTAAAGAATGAAATCAGAGACAGAAAGAAGTCAAAGGGAAAGTGTTTATGAGGTGTAAGAAGAAAAGACGGGTACCCAGGAAGGATCCCAGAAGGTGGGGTGCTACGCTGCCCCTAAGTTATTTAGTGATCACCTATCACAGGCAGCTCTGTGGGTTTAAGACCACCAATTGGAATTTAGGCTTTCTAAACTAGTTACTCAGTTTCTAAACTCATGCAGAGTTTAAAGGAAACTGAGATTTTTTTAAAAAAATTTATTTTATTGAGAAACCAATATCAATAGACAGTTTCAAAACTGATTAATAGGATAGTTTCAATAATTAATACATTGTACATTGTTGTCTTCTTAGTAGTTATCCATAGTACAAGATGCAGACAGGATATCCTATCCAAACACTATTAGTACAAATCTTTCTTCTCATTGAATTAAGTGAAAGTACCTGTATATCTAGCCTAACTATTCTGCGTATACAGATAAAAAATGGTCCTTCCTCTGTATCACATTTTGTTTAGTCCTGTCAGAAACGGGTATTCCGTTGGCATCTAAATACTATAGGTGCGTGAATTCAGCAAAACAATCCAACACAGTCTAGCAGTCCACACCAGCAGTGGGTTATTCACAGAAGCTGTTTACTTGAGCCTTGCACAGCTCAGCATATCCATATGGCTTTACTTTATATACTCATTTTCATAGTTTTCTGCTGGATGGTTAAGACCAAGATAAAGCAAGCCCTGTATAACAAAAAATGTGGCTTTTATATCTGATAAGGTCAGTCAAGTACCCTCAGGATTTATCCTGTAACCTTGTACCACAGTTTGCAGATCCCTTGTCAGAAGACATAAAAAGGGGGGGCCTGGCCCTAGCTCAGTCCTTTAAGTGGCTGCTTCCACAAAGCTGTCAGCCTCAGAAGACATAAAAAATCTAATGAGGAATAACATAAATGTATTGTTGGACTTTGACAGCCCATTGACACAGAGAGATAGAACAGTTATGCAAATAAGGGAGATTCCAAGGTTGCCCCTATTAGCCTCAGTATTTTTTTTCCCATAATTTTATTGAGAAACAGAAAACTGAGATTATAAAGAAGATCTGATTATTCTGCATTTTTAAGTTGACTTTAGTAGGGTGGAGATCTACCCTCTTTAGTGGAAAGGGTCTACCCCCTTTGCCTGAAGCCCTTGTCCTCCCAGGTCCTAGTTTTATTGCCTATTCTTACTTTAATTCTTAGCAGTGTAACTGATCCCCCAACTCTGTCTCAGGCCCTTTCTCTAGCTAGCTATTCATAAGCTAAGGAACGTTAAACTGTCATTGGTACTAGGATGTTGAAGGTAGGCGGTCCTTTTTGTCCGTCCATTGACTCCCTCAGCTATGTAACAAACAGCACCTAAGCTACCACTCCATATACTTGTAGAGGATATGCTAGCAAATCTGTCTGGGCTCCAACAGTCTCTTGCCCCAGTCGTTTTCACTAAAGTTATTTTATTTTGTGGTTGGGTCTTGTTTGCCCAGGCTTGCCTTGAACTCCTGGGCTCAAGCAGTCCTCCTCCCTCAGCCTCTGATGGAGACCACTACAGGGTGGCTGTGAACAGGATCTAAAACTAACCAATTGGCTTTTCATGTTT